TTTTTTTTTTTTTCTTTTTTTTTTTTTTTTAAATGAGACAACTCTGGCTCTCTGATGCATATGTTGCTTCTATTTTATATTTCTTACGTCAAGTCTAGCATGCTGCTACTCTGTGTCCCCTTTATAAAAGAAAGCATCAGGGAAAATAAGAACTAGTGATCAAATAAAAATAGAACATAAATGCCTGGAATATACTTAAAGCTTCTTTGAAAAGCTATCTGAAAAATATAAAATATTTACTGGGTTTGGGGTTTTTTTGGTGAAATTCAATTTTGATGATCATATTTCAAACACTGAAATCATGTCATGGAGAACAGACAGAGCACAAAATATTGTACAGGATAGGAATATATCCTGACAAGGATTAGTGAAGCACTGGGGAATGTTAGTGCTTAGTTTGTATTGTGCAAGCATTTTGTAATGTATCTGTAAGAGTTCTGTCAGTATAGAAGCATGTAAGTCTGATTTTTAGAGAATTAGCAGAGAACATACTGAGAATAGTTAGTTCATGGCTGTGGAATTCAGTTTCACTGTTTACAGGTCTCAGTCATGCTTTTTATTTTCATAGTGACTTCCACCTCGCGTTCTGTGAATTCTCCACAAATGTTGCTGGTTGAATAATGGAAGTATTTGTGAACTTGTTTTTCAGTTTGAAATCAGCTTTTGAGGTACATGTGTTTTACAGTCTGTTGGCTCCCTGTTCACTCAACCTATGGGGAAGTCAAGCTTTATTTTGAAAAGTGAATTTTGATAGCTTTGTACTATACTTTTTGCATTGAAGGAAGGGCAGGCTGACCCAGCCCTGTCTTACTGGGATTAGCAGCATGAGTGGGCTTGGACAGGCTGTGGATTTATTTTTTTTCTGATCACTATCCAAATGTTACTTATTGTAACATACATAGCATGGAAATAACTTTACGGAGGTAACAAAGAACTAACCATCTTCCTTTCTTCTCTCTCTAGTTTGTTGCTCAGCCCAACTGCCAGCAGCTGCTTGCATCCCGCTGGTATGATGAGTTCCCTGGATGGAGAAGGCGACACTGGGCTGTGAAGATGTTGACATGCGTTGTGATAGGACTCCTTTTCCCAGTCTTCTCTGTGTGCTATCTGATAGCTCCCAAAAGCCCATTAGGGCTGTTCATCAGAAAGCCATTTATCAAATTTATCTGCCATACTGCATCCTACTTGACTTTTCTGTTCCTGCTGTTGCTTGCTTCTCAGCACATTGACAGGTCAGACGTGAGCATGCAGGGACCGCCACCAACCATCGTGGAGTGGATGATATTACCGTGGGTCCTGGGTAAATGTATTACTAAAGAAAATACAGTGAAAAGTGTTTTGATCCCTGTGGTTTTGCCAAGCAATCTGAGGCAGGAAGATACAGTAGAGAGTTCTGTCATGAATTATTGACCTACCAAAACAGGCAAATGGTCCATATCCTTCAATAGCTAGCAAGAGTAGTAGGCAACTTGGGAAGAGTTTAAAACTGCAGAATGTCACCACCTGATATATTACAGAGAGGGAAAACAAAAGATATCAGGGGTTCCTTCCTGCAATTAAGCAGTACCCTGAAACATACATATTGATATTCTTTTAATATCTATTTTCTCCAGGCCAGAAATTGTTCTGATTCTTCTGAGTGTCCATTTTTTTTTCTTTGTTAGTCTACTTTTAAAAAAGGGTCCCTTTGCCATGATAATTATTTTTCATGTATTAGAATAAGGCACAGTGTCATTTCTGGAGTGTTATCACTAACCTTAGTTACCTAAAGTATGCTTCTTTCTAATATGGCAGACCTACCTACTGCAAATAGTGCTGACCAGCATTTTCAAGTGAGTATTTTCATTAAAATACGCATGCAGAGTATTTTTTCTGTGCAAAACAATTGATAAGAACTTGTCACTCAACTTCAAACAAAATGTTTTACATCAGAAGGAATAAGAAAATGCCCTAGAATTTTAAAATGGAGGAAAAGATTTCCACTCTGTCCTGATAGTTTAAAATAAAAATTTCAGTCTGGGATTTTTGAAAGCCTACTTTGTGTGGGCCATGTTGGCCTTAAATGTCTCCCTGTGTGATTGCTCAGTCCTATCAGATAGGATTATCCTAGGTCCTCCCTACCTTTGCATGTCTCCTCTGCTAGATGGTATCTCTCTTGGTGTGCCATGGTCTCTTCCCTGTTTCTTATTTTAGGAACCAACACAAGTTGGACCAGGTCAGGCCAAATATACTTGGTCTTAACTAAAATGAAATTGTAGAAGGAGGGACTTAGTTGTCAGTTAAGACTGACTACAAGAATTTACGTTTGATATCTTCATTTAAATTGTCATCACATAGAAAAGTTCATGCGCAAATTTTCTGAAATGTTTTGGTGGAGTTTTGATACTGTTACTTCTCTCAGAGCTTCCCATTGAGATGCTGTTTCTCTTCACTTTTGCAACTTTTCCCAAACACCCGGCTTTTTTTAGAGCAACCAAACTGACAAAGCTTTTGGCATCATTGATCATACATAATTTATGAATCGGTGTTGAATTGATAATACACTGGCAGTGCCTGATATTCCAGAGAAGAATAAGTCAGTGGCTTTTCCTCTATGTGTTCCTTGGTAGAGCACTGTGGGAAGCAGGAGGCCTGGCTACATCTGTCTTTCACTTAAGCAAACAAGCATGCATGACTGAAAACCCTGTGTAGACTTACTTGTTGGGAACCTCTCAGAAGGACCTGTTTTCCACAGATGAACGGCTTTCTGAGATTTCTCCCATCATAACACAGCATAAAACAGTGCTCACCACCAGCCTTCACTGTAAGGTGTGTTGTCCTTTGCTGGGTAAATATTGCTACTAACATTAAAAAACCCAATATCTAGTATCATTGCAAAGGAATTAGTCAATCTGGCAGGGTGCTTAGAATGACATTTCCTACAGACAAGTTGGACTAAATTCAGTGGGTGAGATTCACATGTAAATATTAAAAAAAAATTCTTCCAGTAAATTTTCCCAGTTTTGTACCATTAAGAAATAAGAAACGAATATAAAAATAATTAGTTTGGTATGTTGCTTCCTTAGAACTAAATGCTACAATGCTGAGGAGGAGCAGGGCGCTCTTCTGTGCTGTCCCATGCCCAGAGGAGTTTTTCTAGTAACTTTTCTGTCTGGCCTTCCAAAATAGCAGGTGGTCACTATCTATCCAACTTTCACAGTATCCTGAGACTGAAGGATAGTAAGAATAAATGCATAGCTGATACATAGACCTTGACACACCAAAGTGGGTTTTATCATTAACCTATCTTTTTAAAGAAAGAAATTAGAGCCCAGAGAAAAAGGTACAATTTGAGAAGGGCAAGGGCTAGTTTCAGCTAAAGGCAGTTCTAAAATTTTGGTGACTAACTCCTCTCCAGAAAAAGTGCAGTGGGAAGAGGAAGAACCTCCATTGCCCTCAACCTCTGACACTGTTATTTACTTAGGAAAGGGTTTAAGTAACTCAGCATCCCAAAGCATTTGTTTGAAGAAGCCATTAACCCTGAGAATTATGACTATCAAGATGACTATCATTTCTAAAAGCAGCATTAATATTTGCATTATAGACTAATATGGCCACATTATGCCAGTACTGCCTGTGCTGAATAAGCCCTTCCTCTGCAAGCAGTACAGGTCATGTCAAGGGAACTGCTTGCATAAACAAATATTCATGAGCATGAATAAAGATCAATAGTCAGATACTATGTGGTCAAATAACTTGTGGTTAATCTAGACTGTAATGTTCAGAGAAACTGTGACTTGCAAAATCTCTTGCATCTAAAACGATATATTTTACAGACTGATCTCTAGTGGTTCCTACTAGTTTCCTGTAGTTCCAGTTTCACATTTGCTGGGTTCAGCTTTCAGTCTTGGGTTGCTGCAGTGCCTTAGCCCACACAAATAATAAGGCCCTGGATTCACCCATCATAATCTCAGGCAATTCATTAGGTACCTAAGTTCCCTCTATCATTGAAGGAGACAGGCACACATCTCAACAGGACACTTCAGCTCACAGCATGTGATTAAAGTGTCCATTTCAGCTATTTTTTTGGAGGGGGGTTTAAAGGAATGAATCTCAGCCAAAACCTGCTGTTTTCATATTCACATATATACAAACTGTGGTCTAGTCATCTTTTAATAAACTAAATAGTTTTATTAAGTCCTTATCAATAAGCTAAGGTTAGTTTCCAGGCCACAATTTAGTCTGTCATCTCATCTGTTCAAACTATACATTTATGCAGTATCCTTAAAAAGAGTAAATGTAGCACTCTTGAATTATACAAGAGAACCTAAATCTGAGGTACATAGCTGTATCTTTGCATTTTCTGGTTGTAGACAAAAATGTTGATGTCTGAGACAAAACTAATGTGGATCTACGGTTACAGTTTTTCTCTGAAATTGAAAACATGACCAAGTGAACGCTTTTCCCAAAGCAAAGGTTATCCTGGAGCAGCTACAGCATGTCAAAACTATTAACATTTAAACAATAGAATTCTTTGTTTATCTTTCTCTCAATTCAAATAGCTCTGCATGTAGTTTGCATTTTAATAGCTACATCCCTTAAAATGAAGACAGGAAGAGCAGCTCTACTTCCAGGCTGACATGAATTTCAGCATGGAATCATATAATCATTTAGGTTGGAAAGCACCTTTAAGATCATTGAGTGCAACTGTTAACCTAACACTGACAAGTCCGTGTCCCTAAGCACCACATCTACACGTCTTTTAAATACCTCCAGGGATGGGGACTCCACCACCTCTCTGGGCAGCCTGTTCCAATGCTTGACTACGTTTTCCGTGGAGAAATTTTTCCTAATATCCAAGCTAAACCTTCCCTGGCGCAGCTTGAGCCCATTTCCTCTTGTCCTTTCGCTAACTACTTGGGAGAAGAGACCAACACCCACCTCACTACAACCTCCTTTCAGGTAGTTGTAGAAGAGCAACAAGGTCTCCCCTCAGCCTCCTTTTCTCCAGGCTAAACAACCCCAGTTCCCTCAGCTGCTCCTCATAAGACTTGTGCTCCAGACCCTTCATCACTTTTGTTGGCTTCTTTGGACATGCTTCAGCACCTCAATGTCTTTCTTGTATTGAGGGGCCCAAAACTGAACACAGTATTTGAAGTGCAGCCTCACCAGCGCTGAGTACAGGGGAACAATCACCTCCCTGCTCCTGCTGGCCACACTATTTCTGATAGAGGCCAGGATGCTCTTGGCCGCCTTGGCCACTTGGGCACACTGCTGGCTCATATTCAGCTGACTGTCAACCAGCACCCCCAGGTCCTTTTCCACCAGGCAGCTTTCCAGCCACTCTTCCCCAAGCCTGTAGCATTGCATGGGGTTGTTATGGCCCAAGTGCTGGACCTGGCACTTAGCCTTGTTGAGTTTTATAAAATTGGCCTCAGCCCATCAATCCAGCCTGTCCAGATCCCTCTGTAGATCCTTCCTGCCCTCAAGCAGATGAACACTCCTGCCTAACTTGGTGTTGCCTGCAAACTTACTGAGGGTGCACTCAATCCCCTCCTCCAGATCATTGATAAAGATATTAAACAGAACTGGCCCCAGTAATGAGCCCTGGGGAGCACTGCTTGCGTCTGGCTGCCAACTGGATTTAACTCCATTCAGCACAGCTCTTTGGGCCTGGCCATCCAGCCAGTTTTTTACCCAGAGAAGCATATGCCTGTCCAGGCTGTGAGCAACCAGTTTCTGCAGGAGAATGGAGCATTCATATATTTCATAGACCTTAAGAATTTTCAACATAGTCAATAACGATCTAAGCCCTCCAATGGTCAAACCGTAATTAACATTTGCCTACTACTATGTAATAGAAAGCTGAATGTACATAATTAGAACATATTAAAAGTGTCACTAGAGTAGGAGGCTCAGAGGAAAAACCTGTACTGGGCTACATCTCCATGGAGACTATCGATTTTACATTTAAAAAGTCTCTTAAGGAAACTTCTGCATTAATTTTGTCTTTTACATGATTAGGTGATTACACAAGTGGTGTTACAGTATGTCGTGATTATCCATGGAACAATAAGTCAGTACAACAAGGCTAATGTTATAGCTTTAAGAAGCAGTTGTGGAAAAATGTCTCTGTAAGAAGAGTTAGAATCGCCTGTCCTTGCATTTAAACAAATAAGAAACAAGCTTTTGCTGGTAAGGAAAACTAATTTTGTTCTTTATATTAGCTGTCAATTCCAATATTCCAAGCATGCTAGATGCTTCACATTCCAGGAACATAGGCCTATTTCCTATACTTGAGAATCCATCACCACTGAAAAG